TGCTGGGGGTGGGGACCCTGAGGGTGCGGACTCTGGGGGTCGTGGTCCGCGGGTTGCTGAGTCTGGGGGTGTTGGTTCTGGGGGTGCTGACTCTGGGGGTGCCAGTTCTGGGGGTGCTGACACTGGGGGTACTGCGAGTCCTAGTGGTGGTGGAGTCGTGGGTGCTCCTGCTGGGGGTTCTGGCGTTGGACAGCAGCATCAGTCTGGTCGACAGGAGACTCTCTCGCCGCAGCAGCTTCGCGACTGGGTTGTTCGGCGAGGCTATCCTGGTGGTGGAGGCTATGGTGCTGCAGGTGCTGGAGGTCTTGGAGCTGCTGGTGCTGGAGGTAGTAGAGCTGGAGGTACTGGAGGTACTGGAGCTTCTGGTACTGGAGGTACTAGAGCTGCTGGTGCTGGAGGTGCTAGTGCTGGAGGTGCTGGAGGTACTGGAGCTGCTGGTACTGGAGGTACTGGAGCTGCTGGTGCTGGAGGTACTAGAGCTAGAGGTGCTGGAGGTACTGGAGCTGCTGGTGCTGGAGGTACTGGAGCTGCTGGTGCTGGAGGTGCTAGAGCTGGAGGTACTGGAGGTACTGGAGCTGCTGGTGCTGGAGGTACTAGAGCTGGAGGTTCTGGATGTACTGGAGCTACTGGTGCTGGAGGTGCTAGAGCTGGAGGTGATGGAGGTACTGGAGCTGGAGGTGCTGGAGGTACTGGAGCTGCTGGTGCTGGAGGTGCTGGAGCTGCTGGTGCTGGAGGTGCTAGAGCTGGAGGTGCCGGAGGTACTGGAGCTGCTGGTGCTGGAGGTACTAGAGCTGGAGGTGCTGGAGGTACTGAATCTGCTGGTGCTGGAGGTGCTAGAGCTACTGGTGCTGGAGGTGCTGGAGGTGCTGGTGCTGGAGGTGCTAGAGCTGGAGGTGCTGGAGGTACTGGAGCTGCTGGTGCTGGAGCGACTGGAGCTGGAGGTGCTGGATGTACTGGAGCTAGAGGTACTGGAGGTGCAGGAGCTGGTGGTTCTGGAGGTACTGGAGGTGCTGGAGGTGCTGGAGTTGCTGACGGTACGGGCACTGCGCCGCGCCGACTGTTTTTCTACCCGCAGCCGCAGTCGTCCCTACCACCACCTGACTCGGCACTTCGTCAGGTTCTTAGTCTTCCGTCTTCCACTGGCCTTACTCCGCCTCTCCTGTGTCCTCCGCCTGACCAGTCACAGCCGCAGTTACTGCCTGGCTCTGCACTACCTGCTCCTTCTCCCTACCCTGCACAGACAGGCTCCCAGGCTGAGCGTCGTGAACCTGAGTCTCGTCCTGCCTCCCCTGTTCGCACTGTCAGTCGTGCTCGTCGTTCTCATCCTCCACCTGTCCCCGGCACGCACGCTATGGCACTTCGTCCTTCCTCTGTTCCACAGCGTGTTGCTCTGTCGTCTCCTTCGGCGTCCTCTCTTCCTGACGTTCCTGACCCTGAGTCCGACCTTGCTCGTGCTGCTAGTCCTACTATCATTCGTCTCCTAACCACTGTTGTCACTGACCCTTCCTTTGAGTCTACTGCTGCGTTTGCCCTAGTCACTGAGCTAGTTGACTTTGCTGCTACCCGTCGTCTCGACTACGTCGCGAGTCTGGTTACTGAGTCTGAGTCTGTCTGTCCTCCGTCCGTCGGGGGTGAGCTTGCCCTTAGCAGTGACGTCCTTGAGGACAGGTAGTTTGAGCTTGAGTGTCTCGTACCTCGTTTCGCGTCCATGTTGCTTTGCCCTGAGGGAGACCCGGATGCACTTGACATCCCCACCCCGCGCTCTTACGCAGAGGTGATCACGGTTGAGTACTCCTCTCAGTGGCAGATAGCCATGGACGCAGAGATGGCTTCCTGGAATTCCGCAGGCACCTACATCGACGAGGTTCCCCCTCCTGGGGCGAACATAGTCGATGGCATGTGGATTTTCAGAGTGAAGCGGCCGCCGGATTCTCCGCCTGCCTTCAAGGCGCGTTACGTTGCTCGAGGCTTCAGTCAGCAACAGGGGGTCGACTTCTTCCAGACCTTCTCCCCCACCCCGAAGTTGACTACTCTTCAGGTGTTACTGCACGTTGAAGCACAGCGTGACTACGAGCTGCACTCCCTCGACTTCTCCACAACTTTCTTGCAGGGCAGTCTTCACGAGGGGATATGGCTGCGCCGCCCACCTGGCTTCACTGGGTCGTTTCCTGCGGGTACCAAGTGGAGCTTCCGGCGGCCAGTCTACGGTCTCCGCCAGACGCCCCGCGAGTGGCACGATACACTGAGGACGACACTTGTGGCTCTTGGGTTTTCTCCTTCGACTGCTGACCCGTCGCTGTTTCTGCGCACCGACCCTACTCTGCCGCCGTTCTACATCTTTGTGTACGTGGACGACTTGGTCTTTGCCATTGCTGACACTTGGGCGCTGACCCTTGTGAAGTCGGAGCTGCAGACGAGACACACGTGCACTGACCTGGGTGAGCTGCGTAGCTATCTTGGCTTGAAGATCACCCGGGACAGAGTACGGCGCACCATCACTTTGACTCAGTCACACATGGTGCACCAGGTCCTTCAGCGCTTCGGCTTTCAGTTCTCCTCACCATAGCGCACTCCTCTGCCTACAGGCCACTCGCTCTCAGCTCCACCTTCGGACGAGTCCGTAGAGCCGAGTGGCCCGTATCCAGAGCTTGTGGGCTGCCTCATGTACCTGATGACGTGCACACGACCTGACCTCGCGTACCCTCTCAGCATCCTTGTTCGCTTCGTTGCGCCCGGGCGACACAGGAAAGGAGCACTGGACAGCTGCGCAGAGGGTACTGCGTTACTTGTTCAGTACATCGGGCATGTGGCTCGTGCTTGGAGGACGGGGTTCAGTGGTACTCACAGGACACTCCGACGCTACTTGGGCCGACGACCAGGCGAGTCAGCGGTCGTCACAGGGTTACTCTTCCAGTCTCGGCTCTGGTTCTGTCTCTTGGAGGTCCACTCGTTCATCTTCGGTGCTTGGTTCCAGCTGTGAGGCCTAGATCTACGCTGGGGCCATAGCTGCACAGGAGTTACGCTGGTTGACCTACCTGCTGACCGACTTGGGTGTGCGGCCTCGTTCTCCTCCGGTTCTGTACGTCGACAACAAGGCCATGATTGCCTTGTGTCTGGAGCAGAGACTGGAGCACAGAACGAAGCACATTGCTCTTCGTTACTTTCTTGTTCGGGAGTTGCAGCAGCGTGGTTAGCTGCGCCTTGCTTACTTGGCCTCTCGGGCCAACACTGCTGATGTCTTCACCAAGGCTCTTGTGCCTGGTGATCATCAGCGTTTTTGCACTGCTTTAGGCCTTGTGCCTACTCTGCCTCACCTGCTGGTTGCTTGACTTGTCTTGTACTGTGATATATATATATATATATATATGTATGTATATACCTGCATGCTTGTTCTTGCTAGGTTGTGATCACTGTACTTCTTGTGCTTTTATAACTCTGCATGTGAACTGGCCTTGTGGCCGCTTGCTTGTGCTCAGAATGCGTGGTGATCTTGAGATCCACCCTGAGCTTTGCTTTGTTTTGTTCTCTTGCTTGACTGGTCTTGTGACCGTCCGTTGTGTTTGCAATCCCCCACTTTGCCTATGGGGGTGTGTCAAATTACATTTGCTATCTCTAGGCTGTAGTGGGGCATACTCTAAGGAGTACAACACTTTATGTCATTCCTAGTACTTGTATTCATTCTTCCCTACTAGTCAATCATTCCTACGTTCTATTTCTGACACTCCTCTTGCCCCTCCTTTCTCAAGCAGGGCAATCCGCCCCTTGGAGCCTCATAGTAGGGGCAGCTGCCAAGATGATTTGGACCGCTAGGTGTGAGCGGAAATTCCACGACACGACGTCATCCAGTTTAGGGTTTAGATTTTCGGGTTTTAATCCTCCAATTCATCCTCGCCCAGTTTCTCCTCGCCTTCAGATTTCTCTTGTGGCGAAGCTCCAAGCAACCTACAAAGAAAAATCAACAGATTGCATCCATATTAAGGCCACCTCGCGTCTTCGCTCCATTCACTTTGACCTCAATGGCGCCCCCTCAATTCATCTTGGTCTACGTGTATCATGGCTCATTGGAAACCCCTTTCGTCCCCCGTAAACGTGCCCACCATAATAGAGCGCTCCACCTTAATGTTGGTGGATATCCCTCCAGGGATAGGGGAATAACGTGTTTTCCTATGTACTCCTACTTGGTAGTAGGTTATATTTTTTTCCCCTTATTCCTTGTTTGCTCTATGTATCGTGCACCCTTAAGACCGTTATATAACTTAACGGATCATCTCGAAGTCGTCACCCCCCCCAGATATAAAACCCGACGAAAACATCCGGACCGGAATGTTCACCACAATTTGGATATGTTGTACCCTGCTATCGTGATACAGCCGTGTTGTATCAAGCAGGATTTATGCCAGCCACTCGAAGCACGCGCGGCCGTCTCCTCGCGAGCACTGGAGTTTGTAGCGACCAGACATTTCATACTGGCGATTGTGCAGTGGCTTCTTTGCGATGCTGTATTCTGGCGATTGTGCGGTGCGGTGCTGGTGCGTCTAGGGGGGTGCCTCGCAAACCCTAAGTCATGCGTGTACTACGGTTACATACCGTTTTTTTTTCGAACAACAGAGATTCGCCAACTTTTCCCAGAGAATACGGACCCCATGATCGTGATCACAATCACTATTGCGAATACGGACCGCACCCAGGAAACGGAGGGAAGGAGGACGTGCGACAGCCGGCAGTTGACTCCGGCGGGATAGCTTCTAACTTGTAGCAATCCTTCTCCTTCAATCCAGGACATCGGGGAGTCATTTTGGGTCACTCCTCCTCACAAGGAATCACAGGTATCATATGCTTCGCTCGTGGAACATGTTTTCATTGCTTTGATTTGGCTTCCAGAAGTTCTACTAGTGGTACTTTCCCAGGCAAAAACGATGACGCCCCGCCAGCGATCCGCCTATGATGCTATTGCAGTATTTTTTTTACTACTAGCTTTCCTCCTCAATCATGCCGCTTGCATGGTGGCTGCATCCGATGCAGCCCTGCCTGAGCTCTCGTCCTACTCCAGCACGGCACTGCTCGACGCGCGCTTCGAGCTCTTTTGGAGCATCAGCACAAACGACAAGACCATCCACATGGCGGCGAGGGCGCAGACGGCGGGCTGGCTCGCTGTAGGATTTTCAGAGATTGGATCCATGGTCGGCTCAGGTATCCCCTCTCCACCCATATGTTTCCCCAAGCCTAACTTTTATCCAACTGTGAGAGATATGGACATCTCACGTGCAGTCCCTCTCCTTTCACATTGTGGAAACGATTTGGCAATTGATTTGTTTATTACATCACTCTATTTTTCAGGATTGGGATGGGGAGGAGACGGGGAGGGAGGTTTTGGCTCTCTCTCTCTCTCTCTCTCTCTCTCTCTCTCTCTCTCTCTCTCTCTCTCCTCTCTCTCTCTCTCTCTCTCTCTCTCCCTCCCTCTCTCCCTCTCTCCCTCCCTCCCTCCCTCCCTCCCTCCCTCCCTCCCTCCCTCCCTCCCTCCCTCCCTCCCTCCCTCCCTCCCTCCCTCCCTCCCTCCCTCCCTCCCTCTGTTTGTGTACCATCTGTTTAGATTATGTTACTTCTTCTATTATTTGTGTGTGTACTAACTCTTTCGATTTACTGCTTGCGACCAGATGTGGTGGTGGCGTGGGTGGCGGAGCGCGAGGGGCGCGTGTATGCAACGGATCGGTTCGTCTTCAACAAGACGGGGGAAGGCGTCGCATTGGACGAGCAGCAGGACTGGCGCGTGCTGGGCGGCAGCCAGACCACAGACCAATCCACGGGCGACACGTGGACCACCGTGCACGTGTGGCGCCAGCTGGACACCGGCGACTGTAACGACCGCCCCATTGTCGCCGGAGTTCCGTCCTATGTCATCTGGGCCATGGGTGAGTGTGAGGGCGAGGGGGAAGGCAGCCATGGTTATTATGGAGGTCTCTCAGCGAGAGCATCATGTGAGATTCAGTGGAGTGGGTGAGGAGAGGCAGTCATGGTGGAGTGAGGGCATGTGGACTTTACCGAGGGTTAGGGGAGAACTGTTGAGGTAGAGGCTCAGCTACAGCAGCCCACTAGTCCTGCGTGAGCACTGCCACCCTTCAGTGCTACCCTTCCTCCCCCTTGTACCTCCCTCTCCCCTCCTATCCTTCTGATTTCTTTCGTCTCTTTTCCCCTCCCTCCCCTCCTCTCTTCCTCTCCGTCTCGCTCCCTCCCCTTTTCTCCCTCTATCCCTATCCCTCCCTCCCTCTGTCTCCCTCGCTTTCCCCCTCCCTCTTTCCCTCCTTCTCCCTCCCTACCCCACCCTATCCCTCTCTCTCCCACTCCCACCCTCTCCCACCATCTTTCACCGTATCCCTCCCTCTCCCTATCCCTTCCCCTCCCTCCTCCTCCCCGTCCCTTCCCCCGGCAGGTGCCACTGATGACGTCAGCTACCATGGCTCCACCCGTGGAGCCTCCTCGCTGCTGCTCGCTCCTGCTCCCGGTCCCTCCATCATCTCGCCCCCACCAGCCCCCCCCTCCTCTTCCTCCTCCTCATCCTCCTCCTCCAAGGCGGCCGACCCTGCTGGTGGTGTGAGTGGAGGGCAAGAGGAGCACCGTGTGATGAACCTTACCTTTGAAGATTACGCCTTGCCCGCCGATCCAACCACGTACCGCTGCAAGGTCCCGCCCCCGCGCTTGCCACTGCAGCTCACATGTTTATTTAGAAGGGACTCTGATCCCACCGCGTAAGAAGTGGCTTGGCAAGGTTCTCTTCACTCGCATGCCATTGCCAGCTACATCACTCTCTAGGGAACTCTCAAAATAGAATCCGATCCTGCCGCGTACCTCTGCAAGGTGCTCGCCACTCTGCTTGCTGCTGAAAGTTACACGGCTCCCTTCATGCTCCCATGTGCTAGCCATCATGCCATGCTGCTCTGTCAAGGGTCTATGAGTCGTAACTGGCATGTGTTTTTTGTGTGTGTGTGTTTGTTTGTTTGTTTTTTTTTTTTTTTCCCTCCATTTTCCAGATCAGAATTTTAACCTGTAGGAAATGATTTTTGGACCGTCACCCCTTTGGCCGCCTTCCCTCTGACACCCTCCCCGCTCCCCTGGCAGGTGGTGGAAATACCGTTGACGAGCAAGACCCATGTGATCGAATGGGGGCCTATTGTCAACACCACACTCAACTCCACTCTCATCTCAGCCGTCCATCACTCCGTCATCTACGGTTGCAGAGAGTGAGTGGCAGGGCGTGAGTGGGAGTGCGTGAGTGGCAGAGTGGATGAGAGAGAATGACGCGTGAAATAGAAGGGAAAAAATAAAATCCTTGCTAGACATGTGTGGTGAACCACCACCAATCAACCCTCTCTAACGTTCTCAACCACCACGTAACCCTCCCTCACCCCTTTCTCCCTGTTGTGCTCTCTCGCAGCATCGATTACCCCTAGCTCCCTCCCGTGATTGCCTGCTTGAGGGGATTATGTGACAATAGCCAGAGGGGAAATCTCAGCCGAATCAGAACCCATGGCCTTCTCACCCTCCACCTGTAACCCTCCAAATTCTCCCCGTTTCTTCCCCTCCCAGCGTCGACTACCCCAAGCTGCCTCCCACGGTGAATCCAATTGACTGCCTGCGCAAGGTGCCCTGTGTTACCGTCGTCTCTGTCTTTGCTGGGGTTGGCCGCCCCTGCAGCCTCTCTCCCTTTCTCAACCACCCTGTCACCCTCGTCGCCCTTTTCTCCCCCTCCCAGCATCGACTACCCCGAGCTGCCCCCCACGGGAAAGGTGATTGACTGTCTGAAAAAAGTGCCCTGCGACACAGTGGTCTCTGTCTTTGCTGTGGGCGGCCGCCCCTTCACCCTCCCTGAGAACGTCGGCTACCCCATCGGCCCCGGCTACTTCACCAAGTTCCTTCTCCAGGTAGGTACAGAGCGGTTCAGCTGGTTCTTCTTCGGTAGAGCTGCTAGTATTGCCAAGCTAGGACTGCTAACATATCACTGCGTGCGCCTCATTCCCTCTTCCTCTCCGCTCTTCCCTTCCATGCCAGGTGCACTACACCAATCCCGAGGGCCATGCGGGCATGCGGGACAACTCGGGCATGTATTGGAAGGTGGCAGCCACGCCGCGCCCCATGGATGCATCCATAATGATGCTGGGCCCCGTGCACTACGAGCTGCAGATCCGCATCCCCCCCGCCATGCCCTCCTGGACGCAAACCACCTCCTGCGCTCCCGCGTGCACCGAGAAGGTGTTGGGCAACGAGAGCATCAAGATTGTCGCCTCCATGCTTCACATGCACGGCCTCGGCCGCCAGGTGGGTGACCTTGGAGACCTCGCACAATTGACTCACATGCCTCCACATGCTCTCCCACGTGTTGGGGCGACGAGAGCATCAGGATCGTCGCCTCCATGCTTCACATGCACGGCCTCGGCAGGCACGTGGGTGCGGCCAGCAGGTAAGACTCAAGTGAATAGTGGGAAAGTCGACTCAGGTGGTTAATCATACAATCATTGGTACCATTCCTGACCAACTCTCCCACTCTTGCCCTCCCCATCCCCCCCTTTCCCTGACCACGTGGCCTTTTAAGTGGACTCAAAAGGCATCGGTACCCTCCCTTGTCAAACTCTTCCAATCCCCCCTCCCCATCGCCCCTTGCCCTCCCCATCCCCCCTTGCCCTCCCCATCCCCCCTTGCCCTCCCCATCCCCCCTTGCCCTCCCCATCCCCCCTTGCCCTCCCCATCCCCCCTTGCCCTCCCCATCCCCCCTTGCCCTCCCCATCCCCCCTTGCCCTCCCCATCCCCCCTTGCCCTCCCCATCCTCCCTTGCCCTCCCCATCCCCCCTTGCCCTCCCCATCCCCCCTTGCCCTCCCCATCCCCCCTTGCCCTCCCCATCCCCCCTTGCCCTCCCCATCCCCCCTTGCCCTCCCCATCTCCCCTTGCCCTCCCCATCCCCCCTTGCCCTCCCCATCCCCCCTTGCCCTCCCCATCCCCCCTTGCCCTCCCCATCCCCCCTTGCCCTCCCCATCCCCCCTTGCCCTCCCCATCCCCCCTTGCCCTCCCCATCCCCCCTTGCCCTCCCCATCCCCCCTTGCCCTCCCCATGCCCCCTTGCCCTCCCCATCCTCCCTTGCCCTCCCCATCCCCCCTTGCCCTCCCCATCCCCCCTTGCCCTCCCCATCCCCCTTCCAGTTGTACACGGAGGTGATCCGAGGGGGCACCAAAGTGGCCACCATCAGCCGCCTTGACTACTAGTGAGTCCCTTGCCTCCCCTTCCCTTTTCCTTCCCAACCCTTTCTGGTTCGGCTACTAGCAAGTCCCCCGCCTCCCTTTCCCTTTTCTTTCCCCGCCCTTCCACGTTCGCTCCCCACCCGTTCTGGTTTGACTGTTAAACGGCTCCTTCCTACCCACCCGGCAGCGAATTTGTGTCGCAGCAGACCATGCCCACCATGCCAGAGCACGAGGTGCTTCCTGGCGATGAGCTGACTTCTGAGTTGACTCAATTGCCTCCCCTTCCCCCCCTCCCCTCCTTCCTCCCCTCCCTCCCCCTCCTCCCCCCTCTCCCCTCCCCCCACACGGCAGTGACTTTGCATCACAGCAGACCATGCCCACCATGCCAGAGCACGAGGTGTTCCCCGGCGATGAGCTTCGCACCACGTGTGTGTGGGACTCCTCCGCTCGCTCCACAGTATGTGCCACTGGTTATGCTGGTTACCACCTTGTTTTTTTAGTCAGCTTAACAGTCGCCCCTGTGATGTCCTGTGCACCACATGCGTGGGACTCCTGTGCCCTCTCCACAGCACGTGCCACTGGTTATGCTGGTTGTCACCTATAAGCACACTCACATGGCTGCTACCATTGTGCAATCGCGTGTGGGTGCAGGTGACGCAAGGAGGTGTGCTTGTATCGCCTTTTGAGGCGCCTTAATAGAATCTCTTATAAGCACACTCACATGGTAGCTACCATTGTGCCATCGTGTGTGGGTGCAGGTGGTGTGAGAGGGTATGCTTGTATCGCCATTTCAGGCGCCTTAAAAGAATCTCTTATAAGCATGCTCACATGGAAGCTACCATTGTGCCATCGTGTGTGGGTGCAGGTGACGCGAGGAGGACCCAGCAGTGACGATGAGATGTGCATCAACTACCTGGTGTATTACCCGGCAAGGAAGGGGAATGGTACTAATGCATGTCGATGCGCATTGATGCACATGAATTTGCATTGATGCTCACTCACATTGATGCACAGCAATTTAAACCAATGGGCATAGTTCAATCTGGATTCACATCAATTCACATTGAGCACATTTATTCACATAGGTGCATATTCAAGGCATGTCACTGCACACTGGTCAATGTTCCCTTGATTATCCCACACTGTTCTCCATGCATGCTGCCGCCCTCCCCGCAGAGATGGTGATGTGCTTCGACTACTGCGCAAGCACCACCAACCACGCGTGTGGGGCCGGCGAGACGCGCTACATCCCCACCAACCAAACCTGCACTGTCGACTTCGGCTCCAACGCTCCTCTCACTGCCCTCCACGGCTGCCCCACACAGTGAGTACCGAGGCTTCTCTGAAAACCGACTCATGATTCGGCTCGAATACATTTCTGAGTCAAATCGATCAATGCAAGAGAGGACTCCGATTAAAACCCCACTGCACCCACTCCTCGATTTGCTTCCTCATCCGTGCATTCCTCTCCAATCCTCTCTGCTAACCCCTCACTCTAAAGATTCATGCCTGCTCCTCTGCATTTGGTTGTTCCTTGGGTGCACTGCTGAACGTGCTTCTTCCTTTGCTGCCCTGCTGAACGTGCTTCTTCCTTCGCTGCTCTGCTGAACGTGCTTCTTCCTTTGCTGCTCTGCTGTGCTTCTTCCTCACTCTTAGATCCACTCTGCTAACCACCCCCCCCCCCCCCCCCCCCCCCCCCCCCCCCCCCTCTCACACGTCTTTTCTGCTGGTGCAGGTCTCAAGTATCGCTGTCAGGCCTGGCAGTGGATGCCATTTCATCGCCCCTGATTCCCACCCAGCCAGCATCTTCCCCGTTGCAGTCTGCTGCTGTGCCTTCACCACCTGCTGCCAGCACTCCCAGCGTTGCAAGCGGAACCACTGGAAAATCCGCACGCGCATCAATGGCAGCGTTCCCCACTGCGGTGTTGGTTCTTCTCTGCTCGGTTGCTGCGCTTTGGGTGTGATAGGCCGGCACTCCCAGCATTGCGAGTGGCATCACTGGTTAGCCCGCACACGCATGGATCGTGACCTTCCCGTCCGTGATGCTGATTCTTCTCTGCTTGTTTGTTGCACTTGGGGTATGGTAGGGATGCATTGAGTAAACTTAAGAGAAACTGGTGTTCACATGTTATGAAGGAATGTGGACACAACACATGATTTGAATGATAGTCATTTGATTTCATAGCTGATCTCTCTTAATTTTCAAGAAAAAAAAACTTATTACAACCAGGTTTGATCAACACCACATTACGTGCCATGTGACACGGATGCATGTAACCAGGACCGTTACAAGGTGGTAACCAGCATAACCAGGGGCACGTACTGCAGAGCGAGCAGAGGATTCCCACACACACGTGGTGCGAAACTCATCGCCGGGGAACACCTCGTACTCTGGCATGGTGGGCATGGTCTGCTGCGATGCAAAGTCACTGCCGTGTGGGGGGAGGGGAGGGGGGGGAGAGGGGCAGAGGGGAGGGGGAAGGCGGGGGGAAAGGGGAGGGAGGTGGGAGGGGGGAGGGAGAGAGGGTGAAGAGGAATGAAAGGAGTATGATCTGGGGCATGTTCTGCTGTGATACACGGTCACTACCGGGAGAGTGGGGAGAGGGTGGGGGAGAGGGGGGAGAGAGGAGCAGAGGGGAGTGGGTGGGAAGGCGGAGAGAGGGAGCATGAAGAGGAGATGGAGATGGAGAAGGGGTGATTAAGCTAGGGCAATGATAGAAAAAAAAAAAAAAAAACAAACAAACAAACAAACAAACAAACAAACAGGAACTTCTTTCCTCTCATGGTCAAACCAGAAGGGGTGGGGAAGGGAGGTGGGGGACTCAGTAGTAGTCGAGGCGGCAGATGATTCCCACTTTGGTGCCTCCTCAAACCACCTCCGTGTACAGCTGGAGAGGGGATGGGGAGGGAGGAGAGTGTGAGAGTTGGTCAGCAATGGTACTGATAGGTATTGAGTTCATTAAAGAATATCGTAGGGGGGCGGGGGGGGGGGGGGGGGGGGGGGGGGTGGGGGGGGGGGGAGAAGGGGGAAATGGGTGAGGGAGATGGGGAGGGTGAGAGTGGGAGAGCCGGTCAGTAATGGTACCGAGGATTGCATGGCGCGACCACCTGCTTGCCTCACCCACCCCCCTGCCTCACCCACACCCGCCTGCTGCACCCACCTGCATGCCAAGGCCGTGCATGTGAAGCATGGAGGCGACGATCCTGATGCTCTCGTTGCCCAACACCTTCTCGGTGCACGCGGGAGCGAACGAGGTGGATTGCGTCGAGGAGGGCATGGCGGGGGGGGAATGCGGATCTGCAGCTCATAGTGCACGGGGCCCAGCATCATTATCGATGCATCTATGGGGCGAGGCGTGGCCGCTACCTTCCCATACATGCCCGAGTTGTCCCGCATGCCCGCATTGCTCTCGAGATTGGTGTAGTGCACCTTTAAAGCATTTTTTTATTTACAGGAAAGCCAGTTTCCACCATCAATGGAGGTGGCGTTGGGTCAAACTACAACTGGAAGACTTTTCAAATTTTGTGTGGTGGCAACTGCGTTCCGATTTCATGTGACTGCTCTCGCATTTCATGTCCTTGCCTTGCACAGAAGATAGTCATATGCCCATCTCCACATAAGCAATTTGTGTACCAATATCGAATTTCATCCAAGGAAAGAACGAGAGTGGGAGGGTACTACATTTGGGTTTGGTGAGAGCCTTCAAACAAAAAGGCTCCGTGTTCTTCCAAAAAGCCTTCATACTCTGATCCTTATTGACGATCTGCACGTTGTCCTAGATGTGTGCATTCTTGTCGATAATGACTTTGTGTTAGGAGATTTCCTAATTCCTTACCGCACACATCAGCAACACGTACAACACCCAACCGTTTCTTCGCCAATTATAGCTTGAAGGTGTTCGCCACTTCGCATGTCACGTTTGCCAAACCTGGCACTGCTGGACTTGGCTGAGTCGGCCTACACCTTGGGAATAGCCTGAACCTCACTGCCAGCATCGCACTAGCTAGCTCGCACGCACCACGTTACCGTTTGCTTATTTCGCTATAAATGTTTGCTCATGCCTTCGCTCACATTGTACTTGTTTTAACCCCTTGGTGCAAACCCCGCTCTCTTGTTCAATTACAGGATAGACTGCTGTTTTTGGGCCACATTATTTCTGCCGACGGAGTGGAATTTGTTGGGTGCAAATATTTATTTTTGCACGTCAACCAGCCGCTTACGTCGCATTTTGCATTTTGTGTGTGTGCGCATTTTTCATTTTCATTTGGTGTGTGTTCTGTGCGCATTTGTCCTTGCAATTAATGTGTTCTGTTTTCATTCGTGATTGCATTTTGTGTTAGTGCATTTTCAGTTGCATTTTCACTGTTCTCATGAAGCTCTCATGAAGCGCTCAAATGAGGCTCACATGAAGTGCTCAAATGAGGCTCCCGCGAAGCTCTCAGATGAGGCTCTCATGAAGTTCAAATGAGCTCCCACGAAAGTCACGTGGGACTTCAATATTTTCATGCGAGGCTCATGCGAGCGATCCATGAAAGTCCCATGAACCTCGAATGTTTCATGCGAGGATCATTAGGGGCCCCATATGAGCGGGTGGTGTACCGAGGGGTGCTCGGTTGTTTGACTAGTCAAGGGGGTGCCTTGATTTTTTTGCGCAGGTCAATGGCGCGAAAGTCAGGACCCACGCGTGGGTCCTGGCACGCGCGTGTGGCCACACAGGGCACGCGCGTGTGGCCCCACAGGGCACGCGCGTATGCCGCGCACTGTTGCGAGCGTGCTGTACAACACGATCGCAACAGAACAGGGCACGTTTCGGCCCTGTCCCGCGCTGTACACACGCATGATTGCGATCATGGCGCGCTGTACACCTGATGCTCATTTGAGTCCCCCATACTTGCCTTGTGAAGAGGGCGTTGAAGTGATTATTGCATTTCGCAAAGGTTTCGTCAATTCGCAGCTAGCAAAAAAGGGCTTATAAAAACATTGTGACATACCCGTTGACAGTTTGACTTCGGTCTCTTCAATTTAACTTCGGTCCCTGCGTTACCATTGGTTCATAATCACTGCAACTTGCTCGAGGGGCTTGTACAGTGGGTGCAACTTCCCGGCCCCAAAAACACGTGTGCAGGCTTTCTAAAATGTGCAGGGCAAATATGCGCGCAGGGGTTGAGCATCGTGTGTACAGCACGACCGAGAAAAATATCGGTCGTGCGTGTCGCACGGGGAGAGGGGGGGGGGGGGGGGAGGGGGGGGGGGGGGGGGGTGCTTGGGATTTGAGTTGAAAAACTGAATCCCGCGCTGACTAACGGGACGGGAAAATTCTCGCGAAAGTCACGCCGCCTTGCGTGATCATTCGCCACAGGTACAAATAGGTTATTCCATTTTTTCAAACGGTAAGCCATTTTATAACTATGAGCTCGCATGAACTCGTGAGAGCTACATTGGAGTCACATGCGAGTCTCATGAGTGCACACATTAAAGTCAGCAGGGGCAATTGTTTCAAGTGCAAGTTGAAGACAGTTTTTAACAAGAGGAGGATGAAGCCAATTGCTCAAGGAGTTGAGCAACTGTTTTCAAATACAGCATGGCGAAATCCTGCGAATTAGTTAAACAACTGTTTTATGCTTGCCCTTGCACGTGCGTAGAATTTATAAATGTGTGCTTGTACATGTCGAAATCAGCTGAATGCATTTTCACCTTTTTCAAGCTTGAATTCTACTACTTCATTTTGACCTTTGTAGAAGTGTTAACGTGGTGTTGCCGAAACTCTGCTCGACCAGATTGCTCGTCCTACAAGTTGAGCAAGGCATAACTAATCACTTGTAATTTTTATAAGCCCTTTGCTAGGAGGTGACAATCTGTCACACTCGAAGGGCTGCAAGTGATGTTAAGTGTTGCCAAGTTTAAGTTTGTAGTTCAAGTTTAATGGCTTCCGCATAACGTTATAGCTGTCAGCAGAAATAGACCCAAAAAATATCACAACAATTCATGCCTGGAACCCGCCGACCAACCTGACCAAGCTGCAAAGTTTTCTCGGCTTTGTCAACTACGTGCGTCGGTTCGTCCCCGACATGGCGAAGCTAACTGCCCCACTGACCGACCTGCTGAGGAAGGGGGTTGAGTACACGTGGGGAGAGAATGAGCAAGCTGCCTTCTCTGCCCTGAGGAAGATGCTCGCCACTCATGCTCGCCATCACAGATCCTCACCGTCCGTTCGAACTTGTCACCGACGCATGCAACATCATTGTCGGAGCAGTATTGTTTGCAAGTCTCACCCGCCCGAGCGCAACTACCCGCTACACGACCAGGAGATGCTCGCCATCGTGCACACGTTCAAGGTGTGGCGGTGCTACCTGACAGGCACAGACGTGACAGTATGGACAGACCATCACTTGCTACAATACCTTTGCACCCAACCGAACCTCAATCCGCAACATATTCGATGGTTGGGATACGTGGAGTCCAACTTCCAATACACAGTAACATAAAAAACAGGCGCATCAAACATCGCCGACGCCCTCACTCGCCCAACCGCCCAACTGCATGCCAAGAGGCACACGACGGGGTTACCTCGGGTCACTACGGGTTAGAAAACGCGACAACAACAGCAACGGTACTACTACTGGCGGAGCTGCTAACGAATGTGCAGCACCACGTGGGATCGTGCCCCACGTGCCAGGTGATAAAGTCTTCGCGGAAAAGAAAGCGCATGTCAACTGCAACTGATTTCGCACCCGAACGCGCCTGGCAGCGGGTGACTCTGAATTTGTCACGGGGTTGCCAGCGAGCCCTGGGGGTAACTACGCAGTCATGGTCGTCGTTGACCGATTGACGAAAATGGCTCAATTTGTTGCGTGCATAAAATCTACCTTGGCCGAAGAAATTGCGCGCCTGTTCATTGCAGCAGTTGTTCGCCTCCACTGGATACCAGCAGCCATCATCAGCGCCCTCGACACAAAGTCGCTGTTCTCCAGGCAGGTCGCATCGGCATGGCAGCGGCATCAGAGACATTTTCGCCAGAAACTTCTCCTGGCGACCGAACCACCTTCTAAAGGCGAAATTTCGCATTTCAGCCCCGGAAAGCGGGGGCCCTAGAAGTGAGATTTCCGTCTCCCGTTGCAACAGTTTCGTCGCGGGCTGTGGACAAATTTTTGCACTCAGCGGGGCCAGGGTTGGGTAAAAAGCGACCTGAAAGGGAAAAAAAACACAGACCCACACAAACCCAGCTCGTCAAGCACGTTTCAAGGCTCTTGTTTCAGAAAGGGCACCCTTGGTGGCGATTTTTTTTTTAGCGGGGTGTGCTGGCGGTTTCCCCAATTGGCCGATCCCGCTGCCATCTTGTGACCATTCACCTCTCTGGGGTGGTTTGCCATGGGGTGGCACAGGCATCGCAATTTTCCGGAGAGGGAAAACGTGAGGTTGTTTCGTTCCCTTTTGATGTCGTTTCCAACTGGCATGTTCTGCAGCCAATGCCATGCCGTTTTGGTTCGGACGGCATCGTCAGGCTAGACACGATTTTTTTGGCTGCCCACCAAAAAGTCAACGCTTTGGCAGCATCGCAGCATATTCCTCCGACAGCATCAAGTGCCTGGAGAACAACGCCAAAGTTAACGAATAACTTATGGAGAAACCACTCAGAACTGTTCGGCACGTGTCTACAGTCCAGTTTGTCGTACCATCCTGAGACCGACGGACGGACCGAAAGAACAAATCAAACCATGGAGCAACTTATCCGCGCCAAGTGTGACAACCCCGCAGCCTGGGAACAGTAGCTGCCGTTGATCGATTTCGCGTAAAACAATGCCACATCAGCCACAACGCAGCAGTCATCGTTTTGCCTAAACTATGAACAAAACCCAACATTACCTATAACACCGAGCCTAGACAACTCGACACCATGCGCCCAACAGTTCGCTGAAATTGGTAATCTGCCCGGACCCGCACCGCTGAAGCAATTAAAAAGGCAAATGCCATCACTAAAATAAACGCTGACGGCCACCGCCGCCCCGTCACGTACCAGTCAGGAACAGTTCGCTGAAATTATGCAAGCTGCCATTGTGTGTATTGTTGACGAGAAAAAGGACCTCGCTTGGGCGAAGCTGACTTCGCTGTTCGGCGTGCAAAGTGTGCAGCCGGCTAGGCTTCGTGGACGACACCGACTTGGAGGAGCAATTCGGCGGGCTTGGTTGGCCGACTTCGGTGAAGCCGACCACAGTAGAGCCGACCTTGGTGGAGTTGTTTTGGTGGAGCCGACTTCAGCGAAGCCGGTCACGGCGACACCGACCACGGCGAAGTCGTCGAAGTGAAGTCGGCGGACAACGCCGAGCTTCGGCGGTCGACGAGGTGATCGTCGACAGAGTGCGGACCTACGGACGCCGGTCTAAGGGCTCCGACCTACGATGGTCGGCGTCGGCTAAGGGCCTCTTCTGGTTGACCGAGTAACCTAGCCGACGAAGTTCTGCGGGAAGCAAAAACTTCGCCCAATGTGGTTCTGGCGAAGTCGACCTGCATGGCGACATCACGTGGTCGACATTTTGCACCTGGTGCAACTGTTGACGCGCGTTCGACCAGGCACTTGCGCAATGTGCGTGACGGTGCACAACGTGCACCCAACCGTCTACCTCCACTTACTTGTTGTCGCCGTTTTACCTGAACTATGGTCAAAACCCAACAGTACCCATAACACCGAGCCCGGACAACCCGACACTACGAGCCCAACAGTTCGCTGAAATTCTGCAAGCTGCCCAGACCCGCGCCACTGAAGCAATTAGAAAAACAAATGTCATCGCTAAAAGAAACATTGACCACCGCTGCCGCCCCGTTACGTACCAGTCAGGAGATTGCGTACCAGTCAGGAGATTGCTCGACACCCAGAACCTTCGCCTGCCCGTTGTACCAAAATCACGACCTCGCTACTATGGCCCATTCTAGATCAGCCACATGATCACCCTCATCACCGTGCACCTCTTGTTACTCGCCGACTAGTACGTCAGCCCGTTCTTCCACGCCAGCCTCCTTCCCCCGTACATCCCGATCACCAACCAACTGCCACGCCACCAACCAACCTCGATGCCGCGTCCTGCAGCAGAGCAGATCGTCAAACCCGGAAAAAAAAAATATATATATATATATATAAATCGGAGTCATCAAATTCGCAACCCCCAAGGATTACACGTCCACAGAAGACAGCTGGGTGCCCCTAGGCAACATTGAGAACCACCTTGTCCTCCAAGTGTATTTGCGAAGCCGAGGATTCCGCGATATACACACTCTCGCTTAGCGAAGGGGCTTCTTGAGGAGGGGGGTAGTGTAATCAAAGTTGCTGAATTCCTTACCTCACACCTCAGCTACGCGTACACGTTTGCCAAACCTAGCACTGCTAGACTTGGCCGAGTCGGCCTACGCTTGGGGACTAGCAAGGCCCGAACCTCGCTGCTAGCGCCACACTAGCTAGCTCACATGCACCGCGTTACCGTTTGCTTATTTTCGCTATAAATGTTCGCTCATGCCCTCACTCACATTACGACTGCTTAGTGCAATCCTCACTCGCTTGTTCAATCACCACGATCTTCCCAGTTCCAGTTTATCAGGGTACTATTTGAACCATACCACAATTCAAAATTCGCAAATCAGAGCCATGGCTGAGCTCCAACAATCTAGATAACGGTGCCAGGAGGAATAACAGCATTTTTTGTGACTGTAACGATACCGCTCTTAATGAAGTAAGTAACCATCTGTCTCCCGGGCTGCCTCCTCCACCTGGTCCTTGTTGATAATGGCCTTGTGAATCACCATGTTCTTCCCAATGCCGATTGGCACGCCGCCACTTGCTATCAGCGCCTCCTGTTGCTCCTCCGCCTGATTGGTCGCACGAGATGTCGCGATGGAAGGCAAAAGGGGGCAAAGGGAGGATAAGTAATAAGGTGGACCAAGATCAGTGGACCATGCAATTCCTCCCATCATTCACTGGCCGAGCAAGTAATCGAATTCGAAGTGGAGCTTGTGTCCATTGGTGGTGACTCACAGTGAGCACGACATCTCTTAGATGCTGTGTAGGACATCCTACAATGCCTCTTCGTGGCCTTGTTAGAGGATAAGCCACCAATACAATTCTCAAGTAGGGTGAGGTCGTTCACCTATAACTGTGAGGCAATCACATCTTACGGTAGTGATGCATGCTTATTCCATGCTCTTATAAAGTTAGTATTCTTGAATCATATGAACTTAAAGGAAATTTATGCTGTGCATTTCTGCCAGCAATCAACAACTCACTCAGTCAGCTGGTGTGAAATGCATCACTGAACAGGACTGCCAGTGTGTGAATGCCACTGATGTTGTTTGCATACATCAACAAGTTACAGTAAGATAAGATGGCCTTCTCATGTCATGTCAGGCATCTAAGCCACCACTGGCACAGAAACTTGTACCCGACAGCTACCTACCTACATGGACACAGCAAGAATGGAGAAGACAGTAAGGAGTCCCATTGACAGCTTGGCAAACACGACCGGAGCAGCCTTGGTAGTGTTGGTGCTTCCAGTTGAGTTGTTTGAAGGGCTGGTTGGAGGTGGTGGTGCAGTGGTGTTAGTGGGTGAGGACACTGCGACTGAAATGTTGCTGCTTGAGAGCACAGCCAAAGAGCCTGCAGTCCTGCAAATGGGGAGATGAATATGGGGTGGGCGGGAGGATACATGGGATGGGAGGCACGAAAAGGCATTAGGTGAAAGGGAGAGGGAAGCAGAATGCAGCATGGCTCGGAGGAGCAGGTGGTACAGTGTTGCTGGTGTGGGTGGCATGGGGACGGCTTATAAGGTGGATAGGCCCAAACCAGAGCAAGGCAGCCAGCAAGAGAGTGATGACAGACACATTAGCACCACAGCTCATGCCAGACATCAGGCAGCTATTTAAGAGACTTACTTAGCAGGGCAGCCAGTAAGCACTTTAAAAGGCACGTTGGCACCGTGCCTCATGCTGCATTTCTTTGAGGTGGGAATGTAGGGGTTGTCGAGGCCACCACACAGGTAGAATGTGGTGAGGTTGGGGCTCTTGGGGTTCATATCAAACGTGTTGTTGACGCTGTCCCACGCCGCACAGAAGTCAAAGCACGAACCGAGCACTGTATTGCGGGAACAACAAGCAAAGGGGCAGAGGGGGGAGAAGTCGAAATCGATCCATTACTCCCTACAAGTCTCAATTCCCAACCCTTTCAACCCGTACATATTCCCTCTACTATTCTGAACACTCGCTTCACTGATCCCTGCATTCATTCCACTCATTCCTGCTTACCGCTCTCTTCACTGCTCACCTTGAGCCGGCCTGGCTGGATAGTAAATGAGGTAACCCACACACATCTCATCACTGGTTGCTGGGCCGCCAGGTGTCACCTGCGGATTGGAGCACAGCAACACATGCAGACAAGACAAGGAAAGGTAGAAATCCAGACGTGGGTGGGAGAGAGTAAGCGTTACGCAGGGAGGGAGAGAGAGACAGAAAGGGACGCGAGAGAGAGAAGGCTGAGCGCAAAAGGAGGGGGGAAGCAGAATCAAGGTGGGTACACAATACATTGAAGAGGGAGGAGGAGTCCCGAAGGCACATGGTCATCATTAGGCGCCTCAGAACAACCGAGAGACAAGAGACAATTCATGAGAAACCAACTTCTGAAGCTTCTTGAAACTAGCGGTACCTGGGAGCGGGAGGAGGAGTCCCACACGCACGTGGTCTTGAGCTCGTCCCCTGGCAGCAGCTGGAAGTGCGGATAGATGGGCTGCACCTGCTGCCAGTTGGGGTCACTGCAAGAGTGGAGGGATGGGGGAGGGAGATGGGGAGGCGGGGGAGGTTCGGGACTTGAGCTCGTCCCCTGGCAGCGGCTAGAAGTGCGGATAGATGGGCTGCACCTGCTGCCAGTTGGCATTGCTGTGGGTGTGGAGAGATGGGGAGGGTTTGGGGAGAATGGGAAGAGGGGGGAAACGGGACTTGAGGGCAGCAGGTGGAAGTGCGGGTAGATGGGCTGCACTGCACCTGCTGCCAGTCAGCATTGCTGCAGGAGAGAATTGCAGAAATGGGGAGGGTTTTGGGATGGGGGGTTGGGGGGATTGGGACTTGAGATCATTACAGCAGTAGGTGGAAGTGCGGGTACATGGGCTGCACCTGCTGCCAGTTGGCATTGCTGTGGCAGGGATTCGGGAGGGGGAGAGGAGAGAGGGGCATGAGCCAGCTGCAGTGGCATGCGCAGGTTGATAAACCGCAGCCGCAGTGGAGGGGGGTTGAGATGACCAACAATAGCATTCGCACAGAGAGCTGTGCACGTGAGGAAGTATGCGCACGTGAGGAAGCATGCACATGTGAGGAAGCATGGATGCATGGACGCATTGATGCATCCCCGTATGTAGGCATGGACGCATGGATACACGGATGCATGGATGCATGGAGGCATGGGCACATGGACACGTGGGTGGATAGATTCAATAACGCAGAGCTAAGCCAGCACACTCACTAGTAGTCTAGCCGATCAACCTCAGCAACCTTCCGCCCTCCCCGGTACACATCAGTATACAGCTGCCGACCCAGCGTGTGCATGTGCATGCCCGTCCCAATCACCGTCACCCCGCTCGCATTCCTCAGAACAGCTGCCGTGCATGCGCTGGGGCACGTGCTGATCTGGGTCCACGAGGCCATGCTGGGGGGGATGCGGATGAGCGAGGTGTAGTCTATAGGGCCGGTGAGCATGATGCCTGCGTCGGTGGGGCGAGGCGGGTTGGCTATCTTCAGGTAGAAGCCGGAGCTGTCAGTGATCTTGGAGCGGAGATCAGGGTTGTTGAAGTGCATCTGGAGGGTGGGGGAGGAAAGGTGGGGGGATTCTGAGGAGAGTGGGAGGTGGGGTTGGGATGCGCCACAACAACAGTAGAAGCCAGAGCTTTCGGTGGTCTTGGAGCGGATCAGGGTTGTTGAAGTGCATCTGGAGGGTGGGAGAGACGGGGGAACGACTTTTTAGGGGATTGAGGAGTGGTACAGATGGGTCGGCAAGGTTGAGGTAAAAGCCGGAGCTGTCGGTGATGCTGGAGCGGAGTTCAGAGTTGTTTTTGGAGGCGCCTCAAAAATCTGTGATGCTGGAGCGGAGATTAGGGTTGTTGAAGTGCATCTGGCGAGGGGAAGGGGGGGTTGGTGTGGAAGGGGGGTTGGGGAAAGAGGGGGGGGGGGGGGGGGGGGGGGGGGGGGGGGTGTCGAAGAAGCAAATGAGTATATTCCGATATTATGTATATGTATGTACATATGCATGTTTTAAGACATACACAGTTACATACAGTATTGAACTGCATTCAACCGCACTGCACACACCTGGAGCTCACTTTTGCTCAAGCAGCCTGGCCCAATGCATCTGGGTCGACATGGCATATGAGTCGACAGATATGCCTCAGAACTGCACTGAACCACTCCGCACCGCATCCAACGCACCTGGAGCACGAATTTGGTGAAGTAACCGGGTCCCACAGGGTAGCCCACCCCATCGGGATAGATGAAGGGACGGCCGCCCACAGCCCACATGGCAATGGTTGTGTGACAGGGGGGGGCGCTGATACAGTCAAAGGGGCCAGTGGTGTTGGCGACATTGGGATATTCCGTCCTTGAGGGAGAGAGTATTGGGCAGGGGGGAAGGGGGAACGGAGAAGGGAGAGGAGGTGAGGAGGAGGGGCATGAGGAGGTGACACAAAAGTCAATGAAAAGTCAACTCAAACATCGGCTCAACACGTGGCTTACTGGGAGCAGCCATAGATGACGCCGTGGTGCACGGAGGGCGTATAGGTGGAATTGAGGAGCGCCCCGAACTCCACTATGTGCACCTTGCTGGTGACTGACAGGTCAAACACCTGTGCTCACAGGGGAGAGGAAGAGAGGGGAACGGGAGGGGAGAAGAGGGGAATGAAGAAGGAATAAGGGGGAATAAAGGGGAATCAAAGGAACCTTCTCTATGTGCACCTTGCTGGTGACTGGCAGGTCAAAACCTGTGCACAGGATGACAGGGGAGGGGAGATGAGGAATGAGAGGGGAATGAGAGGGGGATAAGCGGGGGTATACGAGAGCGAGAGGATATAGAGAAGCAGGACGAGGCGGGGACACGAGGAAATGAGGTAAGCGGATGACAGCGAAGCACGTGAGAGTGTGGATCATAGAAGAAAGGAAACTGCGAATCCCTGCAGATCCCTGCAGTGACCCCACCTTGCACACGTAAGTCGTGGCGTTACTAGCAGGCACCGCGAAGTTGCTCAGAGTCCAATTCAGCTGCTGCTCCTTCACCTGCCCGTTCGCCTGCCCGAGATCCGCGGCGCGCTGACTGCCCGCTTCCGCGGACGCGGAGGCGGCGGAAGGGGGCGACGGGGGCGCAAGGATGGAGGGGGCTGGCGCGGGGACCAGCACGAGTGCCGCGGATCCGCGGGATGACGCCCCGTGGTAACCAAAATCGCTGGTTTCGCCCTTCGCCCAGATGACGTTCTGCAGTCGCCCCGCAACGACGGGGCGGTCGTTGCAGTCGCCGGTGTCCAGCTGGCGCCACACGTGCACAGTGGTCCACGTGTCACCCGTGGATTGGTTGGTGGTTTGGAAGCCGCCCAACACACGCCAGTCCTGCTGCTCGTCCAGTGCAACGCCTTCCACCGACTTGTTGAAGATGAAACGGTCCGTCGCATACACGCGCCCTTCTGCTATCCATGCGACGAGGGCGTCTGTCGCGCAGAGCACAAAGAACTTTCAGAGAATCACTTTCAGATGTATTGAGATGAAAGAGCCGGGTTTCACATCAGCAACGCGAGCTGTGCACGGACTAGAATTGACGCATTTGACTCTAAGCACCAATTAAGGCGGATTCTGAGCAAATAAATGTTGCTCCTTTCCTTCGAAATGAATCGCTCACTCACCAGATCCCACCATCGTTCCAACTTCGGAGAGGCCTATAGCGAGCCATCCGGCGGTCTGAGCCTTCGCAGCAATGCGAATTGTCGCTGCGGTGTCGTTCACGCTCCAGTGCAGCTCGAATCCGTCACTCATCATCGCCGCGTTATCGTACGACGAAATTTCCGGCAAAGCGGCCGGCTGGCCGTTAATACCACCGGCCGAAATGAGCAGCAGTACGAGGCACGCCGTTGCAGACCCAAAAAGCCGCTCGAAGGGAAATGCCATGCTGGCTGGCCGCCAAGTGTCACGCGGCGGGGTGACGGACACTGCTCGCAGCGCGAAGAGATCGTCTTTGCACGATTGGAGTGAGGCAATATCCACAAGTCCCTTGCAAGTTGATGTACACGGGTAGAAGAGAGCTCTACTCGCACAGTTGATATGGCTCATGAGCAGGCTGGGTGGGCAATCGCTAGCAGCGATGAAGCGAACCAGGAAAGCACAAGCAGGCTGTTCTGAAGGGGCTACCCTGGGAATACTCGAGGTTCTGAAGGATGGCCCAGACACGAATCTCATATAGCCTGGGAGTTTCCGCGGGCGGGAATCTAATCGCACGAGAATGCGGGAAGAATTGCGGAGCTCCCTCTGGCGGAGCTCGGATCGAGAAATCCCGCGCGGGGCTAGAGGGTTTCCTTGCGGAGCTCGAAAATTACCCCACGGACCTCGAGAATTCCCCAGCAGGGCTCGAAAATTCTCCCGCCCCCCTAGAGCTCAAGAATTGCCCCGCGCAGCTCGAGATCCCCCCCGCGGAGCTCGAGCTCGTCGCACCGCTCGACCAGAGCAACTCGCCATTCAGAAGAGCCGTCCCCAGTGGGCAGGCCCGGCCTTCGTGTCCCCCCCAGCGCGACAGCTTTCGTTTCGTGTCGTGTACGAATCGCGGGCACCAGGAACGAAACAGCCGCAGGGTTGACCATCAGCATTTAGGGGCGGGGAGGGGAGGCATACACACAACTTTGAACTGGGCTGCCCGCTAGATCTGGGAAGCGAACGATGGCAAAGTCTAGGAGGCATTGGGTGACGGACAGAACCTTCTCGCCTGGGATTCACGGCGGTTTCTAGGGAGCAAGTGTCACTCCATACATTCCGCAGTTCTCTGCCATGCAGCTCTGCTGCTCTGGCCGCTCTTTTCCGTGCTTCCACGTGGACCGTACCAAGTAAGCCCCTTGCGTACTAATGTGGGAATCTCGGGTCTGGTGCGCGAAGGGATATGGGGGCGTGTGATATTTGGGTCCAGAACTGACGAAGCATCCTCCGTAATAGGAACTGCGACATCAATTTGAAGCCCATGTGCATTTTCGAACTCACTAGTAACTTCTTGTTTCTGCTTGAGTTCTTTTGACACCCCTGGTCATAACACTGGTCTTTCAGACTAAGAGAATAACACAGTACTTGCAGTGATTTTCTGGTGGGAGAGACGGTTTCCATGGCCAGAGTGAACCAGTCTGGAAGAGAATTGGTCCATCTGGTTTACTAAAGCCACCTCAATTTATCAAGGCTAGTGCCAAATCTTCATACAATTACCAACTGTGCAACAATGGACAAATACCGTATGGTACCAAAACCAAAATTTCACAAAACTGAGCCATGGCACAACTCCAACATCTAGATAATGGTGCCGGGAGGAATCACAGCATCCTTGATGACTGTAACGATGCCGCTCTTAATGAAGTAGCCGTCCGTCTCCCGGGCTGCCTCCTCCACCTGATCCTTGTTGATAATCTGCACGTTGTCCCCGATGCGTGCATTCTTGTCAATGATGGCCTTGTGAATCACCACGTTCTTCCCAATGCCAATTGGCACGCCACCACTGGCTATCAGCGCCTCCTGTTGCTCCTCCGTCTGATTGGTCGCACAAGATGTCGTGATAAAGGCAAAGGGGGGCGAAGGGAGGATAAGTAATAAGGTGGACCAAGATGAATGGACCATGCATTGCACCCATCATTCAGCACCAGATGGACCTAAGAAGAATAGTCAGTTGCTCTCAAGCAACACACTCACCTCATATGACCCCACAACCCTCTCACAACCCTCTCAAGAGCGCCTATGAAAAGCATGTCCTTGATGATGATGGACCCCGCACCAATCGGTCACTTGCAATACAAGCAACACACTAGCTCGCCTACCAGTCCTCTTCAGCACCACACCGCTCTCACCTCGTAGTAATCAGCGCCCATGACAAGCGTGTCCTTGATGACGGACCCTGCACCGATCTTGGCGCGAAGGCCGATCACCGAGTGGTGTAGTTGCGAGTCCTGGGCAAGCAGAGGATGCAGGGGGAATGGGAGAGAGTGGGGTGAGAACTCGGAATGGGGTACGAGGTGAAAAGGAGGTGGTGGAGGAATAAGGTTACACTGTGTATGAAACGCAAGCCATCTCTCATCGAGTGAACGACCGTTCAAAGCGCGTGAGGGCTACAACCATCACCATCAAATGCACACACCATCAGTCAAAGCATGTCACATCCCTCCAGGATATTGCAGTCTTTCCAAACAATGCTTGGCAGATTGGAGGGCAGCAAGTCGCGTGGCCGCGTGCGGACAGGTGCAGTAGTAATCCCCCTCTAGTCAACCACACTCCTCCATCTCACTCAACAAACCCTCCCACCTCTAGTCCAATCTCAGCCGTGCAGCGATCTCACCTCAATGACGCACCCCTCGCCAATCACGCTCTCTGAGATATCCACGCTCTGCAGCTTAGACGGCGGCAGGTAGCGCGCCTGGGTGTAGATGGGTGCAGAGCGGTCGTAGAAGCTGAAGGGCGAGTTGGGCTGCGTGGTGGCGAGGTTGGCGTTGTAAAATGCCTCGATGGTTCCAATGTCTTCCCAGTACCCGTCATACAGGAACGCTTGGACCTGGTGGTGGTGGTATGGTAGTAACGAGACATGACAGTAAAGGGAATGGAGCTGAGTGAGTCTGCTGTCGGGATTGGCATTGTAAAAGGCCTCGATGGTTCCAATGTCTTCCCAGTACCCGTCGTACAGGAACGCTTGCACCTGGTGGCAGTAATGAGACATGACAATAAAGGGGATGGGGATGGAGAACACAGGCGGAGTGAGGCTGGTGCTGGGATTGCCGTTGTTGAAGGCCCACAATGATGTACAAGGAGCCATTGTACACGAAGGCTTGCACTTGATCGGGATGATAATGTGAAAAGGCTTGCATGGTGCAGACGTGGTGTTTGTGAAAATAGGGGATGACGAGGAAACGAACAGGGGGGAATGAATGGAAATGCCGGACGAAAGGAGGTTGCAGGTGAGGTGAGAGTAGAATGAATGGACGGGACGAAGAGGCGGTGAGGGTATGATCATACGAAGCATAGGAGTCTCCTTTTCCACCTCCAGCGTCCCCTGCGGACCTCCATCGCCAGCTCTCTTTCTCAACCTACCTACTCCTCCAGCTTTCGAGTTTCCCAAGCTCACTACCCTCATGCTTCACCTTGCTGCCTCTATAACGTACCAGCCTACGTCATTCGCCTTCCCCGTGTCGTCTCTCGCCTAACCACCCTGACTCCTTCACCCAGGCTCCCCACAGGCCACCCCCTGAAGCGCTCACCTTGGCGCCCTTGGCGCACGCGCCGGGGATGACCTCGGAGCCGAAGTCGTTAGCATCGGGGAAGTCGTCGGCGAGCATGCGGATCATGGCGTCCTTGCTGATCACGTAGATGCCCATCGACGCGATGTACGGCATCTCCTTGGCGCGCTCCGCGTCCAGGCCCAGGATCGTCGTGTCCACCTGCGGCGATATGCGGAAGGGAGAGAGGAGAAGGAGGGGGGGAGGGGGGATGGGGATGGGGGGGAAGGGGAATGCGCGGGGAGAGGGACGGGGAAACGAGGGAGGCGCTAATGACGTAGATGCCCATCGACGCGATGTGCGGCATCTCCTTGGCGCGCTCCGCGTCCAGCCCCAGGATGGTGGTGTCCACCTGGTGAGTCGACCGGGGGAAACGGGGCGGCGCGAGTGCGGAAAGGGAGGGGAGAAGGGGAGGCCGTGCCGGGGGTGAGGGGGAGAGAGGGGGGTGGAGGGGAAAGTGGGGCCGTGTTTAAGGGAAGAGGGAGGGGAGGAAAGGGGGATGGGGAAGTCGAGTCAGCCTTGCTTCTCAGCAAAATCAACGCACGCCAGCAAATCACACCGCCAAACACCGCGACACACCGTGTTACACCACGGACCTGCATAGCCTTGAGCGCGTCGCCCTTGGGCTTCTCCGCGAACTCGACAATCCTCCCCGTGTCGTCGATCTTCATGAGCCCGAAGGCCTCGGCGCGCTTCTCGTCCATGGGCAGCGCGGCGATGGTGATGTCGGCGTCGTTCTCGCGATGGCACTTGATGAAGCGCTGGTAGTCCATGCGGTACAGGTGGTCTCCCGCGAGAATGAGGAACTCCTGCACGTTCTGCTCCTCCAGCTGCCACAGGTACTGCCGCACCGCGTCCGCCGTGCCCTGTGGAGGAAGCGCGGGAAGCCGACGGGGAGGGAGTGAGGGAGAGAGGGAGGCACGACGTGGGACGTGGTGAATCGCTGGTACGATGTTAGTCCGTGCGATATTCCTGGCCGTCGATGCAGCTCCCAGTGGTTCTTCCGAACGGGATGGGATGGAAAGGGAAGGGAAGGGAAGAGTGAGGTGAGGGTACGCGGTCGTCGAACAAGGCCGATACAATGCTTCGACGATAAGTCGTGGTCCCTCCAAGCACGCACGAGGTGCTGATTGCCTCGTAATAGCATTCCCACACCTGCTGTCGTGCCCCTGTTAGCCGAATCTGGGAAATTATGCACATTAGTCCAGCCGGTTGGCAGAGCACGGAACTATTTACCAACTTGCCAGCGCAAAAGACTCCGCGCAATGACCTTGGATTAGATTCTGGCCAAAATCTCAGTGACGAATCACACAGGATCGAAGCCCGACGTAATGATGAAGAATCTTGAATATCCGCTTACCTGGAACCAGTTGGGATTCTCAGGGCTCTGCTGCGCTGCGAGCACTTCGACGAAACCCTGCGTCTTGTAACCACCCATGTTGCTCGTGTACGCGCGCGACAGATGCCTGTTGAGCGACGCCGAGTTGAACTGCGTCATCACGTAGATCTTCACAATGTTGCTGTTGATGCAGTTACTAACGGGGATGTCGATCAGGCGGTAGTTGGCGCCCAGAGGCACGGCGGGCTTGGCGCGCTTCTTGGTGAGCGGGTAGAGGCGAGTGCCGGCACCGCCGCCGAGAATGATACCGAGAACGCTCTGAAAGGCGGAGGGAAACAGCGGGGAAACAACGGGGAAACGTCAGGGACATAACGAAGTCAAGAGGAGATGGCAACGGTAGGAGGAGCAAGCGGAGAGCTGATTCGACTGATTTCCTTCATCAGAAAGCTGGCAGCGAAAAGTGTCGAACAATAATATTGAATGGGCAAAATGCAACGAACGTGGAGTGCAGGCATAAATTTAGATGCATTTAGAAATAATGACGTGAACAACACAAAATGTCGAAAGTTGACGGCTCTGGGTCCGCCGTATGGGTGATGTCAGAAACATTAAAGCGACACATGGCGCGTCGTTTCAAGCGAAGATACCAGTCAGTTTAAAGTCTATACCACATCTACGTGTCGAGGAGGGTCCGTAACTACAGAAGATGGCGACATTGCCCTAACTACTGTTAAATATACGCGTCTCCATGACTGGCCTGACCTGGCTGACGTCAGGGTCCATGCAGACATCCTTGGCGGTGCTGGAGTCAATCACGGCGCGAGGAGCGGCGGGTCTTGCGCTAGTAGCAGCCTGCTTGGAAGCACGAGGCGCTTTGGTGGTGAGGCGAGCTCCAGCGAGGCCAGATGAAGCAAAGCCGACCTTCGCGGCGCCTGCTGACTTGTTCTCGCTGCGCGCGACGGGCGCGAGCGACGCCTTAGCGGCGGGGATGGTGACGGTCGCCATGGCTACCTGGTACAGGTGGCAACAGAGTCTCGCAGACGAATTTCGTAATAGTGAGGCGAGACTTGCTACTTCGTGCGTCTAATTGGAATCTGGAGAAATTCGACGCTTTTGAGAAGCAGCCTGGTTGCCTCAATTCACATTCCAACCAACAGCTGACGATTTCTGGTTCCTTTTCGGTTCAAGCAGCAGCCATGGATGGTCAGAATCAGGCGAGGCGGTGCAGCAGCTTGGGATGGTTTGGAATGCCATGCGCCGTGGCATGGATTGGCTTGGAACGCTCCGAACCAGTTGGTATGGGGGGAGATTCCCCCCTTGGCGCGCCTTGGCGGGAGTGGTTGGGGGAAACAGTTGCGCGGTGGTGCTGGTGGTCCATGATATGGGCTGGGGAAAATGGCTGGAGGAACTTTGTTTAACCACGTGGCAAGATATGTGGCAGGGACTTGCCACGCAAGCGGTTCTCTTGATCCATGAGGAGTGGCTTGGACATATCCTCCGCTGGCGAAGCGTGGGCTCCTGTGCCACGCAGCCCCAAACTGGTGAAGTAGCGAAAGATCCCATGGCAGCGTGGGGCTGACAACAGGGCTCCAAGCCAAGGGAAATGTGAGCCCTGAAACAGCATTTTGCTGGACTGGAATTTTGTAGATTCTATCGCGAATGCCACGGTGGACAATCTCCTGTCATTCCGCACGACGACCACATGGCTGGTTACTCCAATTGTAACGGAGTATTATTGCGAAACTCGATAATGCACCATATCTTAGTGAGAGTGTTCTGACAACTAAGCCTTCCAATGCCAACACTACAGCAATCTTTAATAGGTGGAATTGGTCTAGTACTTGGCATGTATAACAGTAAAATCCAGATATTAAAAAACACATCAAGTGTGAAAACGGGGTCGATATAGGCCTGCAACGAAATTGGTACTTATAAGTTTGAGGTCACGGGGTCATCTTGATGGACAAATTTATCGTTCTGGTAAGCAGCCATGGCTTCTTCCCTGCTAAGCACAGGGCCGTTATCGTTCCACATAGACCATACAAGATGCCACCCTCCCCCGTTAGCACCACTTGGGCGCCATAGCTCCACCCTCTTTCCGTGCTCAACCTCAACACCTGGATGCACGGAAAGGGGCAAACAAGCACCAGCGGAGCGAGGTTATGGCTAAGGTTGCGAACAAGAGAAAGAAACGGAATGAAATAGGAACTTCTCTATTGCTTTGGCTCAAAATAACGTATACAAGTACCTTGGGCGTCAGCGATGCTGTAGGTCGATCGCGCGAGAGCAGCAAACGACTTTGAGCCTTCATCTTGCAAAACTTCGACTTCCCCCACCATCACGGACAGCGATAGGTGTGACGCCTTGAATTCCTGAAAGAGGAAAGGAAAATCAGATGACACAAGAATCAACGGAACACATTTGTTAGTAGACGATAACAGATGGAGAGAAAGCCACTCGGTTACTGCGGGATGCAGGTTGTACCTCCTTGGTCTCAAATTCATGACAAGAGCAGGGACTGAGTTCGGATTCCTTACATTGAGCAGGTTCTCCTTCTCTTGTTCCGTCGCAAGAGTCACGCTTCCAGCACCAGGAGCCATGAGCGTCGCAGCTTCAGGACCAAACAGGATAGACGAGGCCGACGCCACGTCATCAGCCGCGAGAGCAGACACGAACGCACTCCAAGCCGTCTGGACGTGGAAATGCACTTCAGATTGTTGCGGCGCCATCCCTAGATCCCGCGTATTCGCCTCCTGGTCTTCGCCGGAATGCGCTTCAGCCTCCTCATACTGACTCTGCGCCGCCTTGACTGCGTCCAGGTGTCCGAAGTCATTGTCCATCATTAGAACGTCCGGGACGTCCGTCGCCGCCGCCGCTTGCGCTACCACCGGAAGCTCTGCCGTGGCGTCAGGAGAAACGGAAGAATCTGCAGATATCGTAGCCGTGAACGGGACCATTTTAATTTGATCCTTGGCGCCGCGGTTTTGCCACATCAGCCAGCTGACGCCCCACTGGGAGCAATCGTCGGTATTACTGTCGGGCGAAGGTTGGATTTGGTCCCAGAATGCGAGGAATTTCCCGTCGTTATTGTCACCTCCGGATTCAGAGCCTGGCGCGGCCGAGTGGACCGAGCCGAGGACGACCAACGCGTGATTCGCGGGCTTGTAGAGGCTGTTTAAAAGGCGATACGAGGTGAGAGACTCAACCGCGAACGTCGGATTAGAGATTGACCCGCTGAGGTCTTTTAGGGCTTGTCCCTTATCTCGAGGCGTGAAGGAGACCCGCTCTTCAGTTCCCGGTCCCATAAAAACCCTTCGCGGCGAGAAGACGCGGCGACTGGACGCTCCAAGGAAGCTGGCGAGCTCGCTCAACCCCACGGCGACGCATTCTGCGACATTGCCGCCGCGATTGGCGGCGGTTGCAACTCCGCTAGCAGCAAGAGCTTTCGCAGCAGCAGAATCTGATACCGGCTGACTCTGCACGGACGGTAGCCGGCGAGCGCAGGCGAATGTGATGCTGCTGGAGAGGACAAGCAGGAGCAGAAGAGCAGGAAGCGAGTTCGCCGCCGCCATCGCTTCAAGGTGGAAGAACTCAACTTGGGAAACCGAAATGAGTTGCCGATTCAAGTGACGGTTCGTTGGTTATAGCCAGACGAGACGACGCCTGGAGATGCATGGTTCTCCGTTCAGCTCCGTTCGCTAGCAGCTGGCTTAAAGCCCGAGTCTAGAATGGCAACTTTTCAAGTTCAAGATTCTTGAACTTGAATTCGCCTCCCCTCCCGTCGCCTTTTAGGTGGCTCTCCCTTCCCGCGCCCGTCGCCCACGCTTACTCCCACGCTCCCTCTGAGTGTCTCCCACGCTCTCCCATCATGTCGCTGGCCTTCACATGACCATCGCTTGCCCATTCTGTCGCTTTCCCAACACCTTTCAAGTTCAGTATTCTTGAAGCCTTACCATTCTAGACTCGGGCTTTAATCGGCGAAGCGCAGGAGGAAAAGACTGTGCGTCTGTGACTGGATGAGCAAGGAAATATTGCCACCCATGTTCTCATGATATCCCGCCTGATTCTCTCTTCACTTCCCCTCGTTACCTCTCCCTCTCCCGCTCACTCCACTCTGCACACCTTTCCTTCCTTCCCCTCCCTGACTCGCTTCCACTCTCCGCTTCAGTCTGCTGCACTGCCCCCGCCCCCACCCCTCCAAAACTGTACAGTATCAACATGGAAATGGAATTTGTCGTTCATAACCTTCTACTGTACAGTGCACAGTGCATGGCATCGAAATCAATGGACCGCAAGGGCGCCGCTGAGCTGAGCCTCCTTGATTGGAGAGAAGGTTTGGTTCTCAACATTTCACCACTCTCCTTCAGCTGATGTGGAGAACCTCCGTCCATTCGTACAGCGTAAAGAGATTCACCGTCTACAGCGTCTCGTCAGCCATAAGATCGTGCGTGAAAGACAAAGCTTCATCTTGTAAAATCCCAGATTCTGAGAAAGGTGAAGCAGTAAGTACTGTACGCCAAGAAGCGACGGGCATGTTACAACTTTAAATACTACACCCTGTTTCTCGCTACACTGAACTGCGGAAACACACTGAACAGTGGAACTATTCCTTGGACGTATTTGAAAAGTTTACAATATCCGTCTCTAGGAGGCGGGTTATCCGAAATTTCGTTGACCTGGGTACCCTACCGAGCCATATTAAAAGTTTAATCGACCGTCTTCAAAGGTAGCTGACCTCGTCAAACCGAACTGGTGCAAAAGTTTACTATATCGCGTAATTTGGCGCGTCGAGCCACAGGGTTCAGTATACCGGCATACACAATAGCGAGAAACAGGGTGTATCCAGCCCACAACTTTGCAGTCTGCTTACCTCTAAACCTGGGTACACCTAGTCCGCGGTATTTTAACCACGTGAACTGTTTAGTTTCAAACACCCTTTATTCGTTTTCGGGTAATGATATGGGCACCCAGAGACTTTGAGGTTATTATTTTACAGCGGGATGCCTTTCCGTCTGAAGAAACGCACACTTAGTGGTCCGAGATAGGGGGCATATCGGTATTGGCAGAGTTTTAACTGCCGTGATCTCGCGACGGGAATGCTAGATTCTACCCTCATTAATTTTCAAACTACTCGTTTAAACAAGTTTGACCAAGGAGAAGTACCCTCGCGCGGTTAAGATAGCGGCGGTTAAAATACCGCGGACTAGGTGTACCTTCAGGTCCCACCCTGCTGGAAAGTGTATCCACAAATATATTCCTTCTCATTTGATGGGGATCCTCTTAGATAGGACCTGAAGGAATGTAGAACGCGACCACATCTGGTTGTGCCTGCTAGAAAGACATAGTGCCGTCGTAGCGGAAGCCTTGATTGTAGAATAGATAGCAAGAGAAACTTGTAACTGAAAAGATTCATAACAATGGAATGATTGTGGCATCATACAGCATGGTATTTATGCCTGTAGCTACTCCTCCAGAATGACCCCATCTACTCCAATAATTGTACCACCAATAATGGCAACTCCAATAAAGGAGTACCAATAATGCAGCCCCTACAATAATTGTACAATTATTGTAGGACCTGGAGTCTTATAAGGAGGATTACACTAAAACCTAACAGCATATAACTTTCTTATACTTTGTATTTCCAACACTCCCCCTTGCTGTAGGTTTTACAGTAAATTTACTGGGGTTCATTCTGTGGAGGATGAGAGGATGAGGTGGTGTACCACAAAAACACACTTCAGTTGAAGTTGTAGACGCAGTGATTCCGTTTCACATTTCCCGTTGATTGTGGAGCAAACCACCACCTTAGAGTTTGTAGTTTCAGATTGAAAACGCGTTGAACAAAGTTACTGTAGCAGTTGCACGTTCCTCGTGAGGTGGTGTTTCTGCTCCTGTTGCTCCGTGCATACCCCAGTTTCTCGATTCTCCTCCTCATCGCCATTCCCTCTCACGTTTCTCCCCTTCACTTTGGGCAGGCAGCTTTTGCTCGTCACTTTCTCCCGTTTCAGATCTCGACTTTCCCGCCACCTCTAGCCACTCTAGCCATGGCTGCCGCTGCTGACGATATCGTGACCTGTCCGAGGCATTCCTCTGATTTTCGACCTTCAACCGTAAATGATGATTTAGCAGCTGCTGCCACGTCTTCTAGCAGCAGCCCGAAATACTCGTTTTAGGATGGCGCGACCTGCAGTAGTAAGCGAGTACTAGCAGCTGCTGGCACACGATCTGTTCGAGCTGCTGACGCGCCTACCGTGCATGACGCGACCACTAGCAGAGCGTCGTCAGCAGCCAGTGCGTGGTTACAGCGCCTGACACGCGTTTCCAGCAGCTCGCGACCTCAACTGCATCTGCTGCTGCTGGCGCTCTACTTTAGAAACTGACGGGCTACTGAACGCGACCCTGTAGCAGCATGACGCGCACTGCTGCATCAGCGCCCGTGACGACCGGCTGCAGTGGCTGGCGTACGGCTGCAGCAGCATGCGCGCTCCCCCTGTGCTCCTCCTTGCTCATGACAGCACTGTCAAAGCATATGCATGTTATATATGTGTAGGCTGTAGTGGGGTAGCCAATATGGGGTACAGCCCCTTTTAGGGTTTCATACTTGTACCCAACTCTTCCATAGTTCATTCATTCCTGTCTCTTGATTCTGACATGGTTTCAGGGCAGTAGGTCCGTAGGACCGTTTTTTTTTTTTCGGGCCCACCTACCGCTACCCCACGACTGTGACTGTGACTGACTGTGCCTGTGACGTGCTGCGCTGCGCGCGCCGTCTGCCTGCTGCCTACTGTCTGCTGACTGTGCGATCTGCTGCTGCTTAGAGCGCGCAGACCTAATTCCTGCGCGCGGCTCGTTTTTTGCCCACCGAGTCGCCCACCCTGCCCGAGTCGCGCCTCGGCAGCCCGCGCGCGGCTCGCTGCTGCTTCGCGCGCCGCGTCTGCAACCCGCGCGGCGCGTTGCAGCCCCGCGCGTCAAGACAGCTGCCCGCGCGTCGCGCTGCAGCCCCGCGCGCCGCGACCGCTGCCCGCGCGTCGCGCTGCAGCCCCGCGCGCCGCGCGCGCTGCCCGCGCGTCGCGCTGCAGCCCCGCGCGCCGCGACCCACCTGCTTCTGCCGCGGCCGCGCCCTGCCGCCGACACGGCCCCGCCCGGACGCTGACGCGGCCCTGCCAGCCCTGCAGCTGACGCGGCCCCAACCTGCCGCTGACGCGGCCCCGCCCTGCAGCGGACACGGCCCCGACCTGCCGCTGCCGCGGCCTCGCCCTGCAGCTGACGCCGCCCCACCCTGCAGCTGCCGCGGCCCTACTCTACAGCTGCTGCTGCGGCCCTGCCGTCGCCGCCGTCGTGCGCCTCCCCTGCCGCCGCCCGCCGAGAGCCGGCCCTGCCCGCCACTGGTGAGCACCTGCCTTGTTCGTGCACTGCAGCGCCCTCTGCCTGCCTGTCTACCTACCTGCCTGCCTGCCACTCCTGCCGCGCCTGCTCTGCCCGAGCTGCTGCTGCTACTGCTGCTACTGTTGCTACTGGCGGTGGCCAGATGCAGCTCCAACGACGCCCGCGCGAGTCTCTCACGCCTCAGCAGCTTCGTGAGTGGTACGCTAGTTGGGGTTGTGGCGGTAGCCGTCGTGACTGTCCCCCTGGAGCTGGTCGGTCGGGAGCGTCTGGCAGTGGCCAGCTGCAGCTGCAGCGGCGTCCGCGCGAGACACTTACGTCCTGGCAGCTTCACGAGTGGTACGCTCAGAGTAGAGGTTTTTTGAGTACCGTTCGTTGCCCGTACGTCCCACGCACAGGTGATCGGTCTGGTCAGGCTTGCGGGACACTTGGTCACACCCAGTCCCGCTGCTTCGCCCGTCTGAGCGACGCCTGGCGCACAGAGTTTGGTGACGAGGCTGAGCTCCCCACCTGGCTGGAGCTGCTTGGGCAGGGGGTAGATATCTTTGCTCTTGACTATGATGCTATTCTC